ATTTCAAAAACAGCTATTTAATCTCACATTAGTTAATTCAGGCTCTGAAAAGTAAGTGAGAAGCTACATATAATAATGCTATAACACAAGATCAAAACTACCTACTATAGTAACAATGGAGATTTGTATTAGAACTGCTCTGTTCCAGGCACTCAAATATTTCTGAACAGCTGTAACCTTTTACAAGAAAAGAGCCTACTTGTTAAAAAACAGCTATTTAATCTCACATTAGTTAATTCAGGCTCTGAAAAGTAAGTGAGAAGCTACATATAATAATGCTATAACACAAGATCAAAACTACCTACTATAGTAACAATGGAGATTTGTATTAGAACTGCTCTGTTCCAGGCACTCAAATATTTCTGAACAGCTGTAACCTTTTACAAGAAAAGAGCCTACTTGTTACAGACGGAGTAACATTTTAGTGCAAAGAAATTGAACATACATGAACGTCTTAAAACTACATTTGTAATAATTTCTCAAGTAGTTTAATCAATTGCCTAAAATTTGCTACACAAAAGCTGAATTTTATATACATTTTAATGTAAAATATTTTCCATGCTTCCTAAAAACAAATCAAGTACAGTAAGAGTTATAAAAAGAAATGCTACCTTGAAATTGACTAACAGTATCTCCAAGGTACTATCATCTTTTATGAAATCGTCTTGAAGCAGAATGTGATTTGTGAACTGCTCAAAAAGCAGCAACACTACAGAAACAAACAAGCTGGTTGGAACTGCCTTACAATACTGCAGAGAGACAAGCCTGAATGACAAGCATACGCAGACTGCCTTGAATAGGGCATGTTAGGGGGCTGGAACTTTCTGTGTTTGCTCTCCTATACGACAGCTGAGTTTCTCTCCTACTTAACCCTTGGGGGCAAAGTCTTAATGGTTACAGCTGGTATGGTGAAGGCTTGATCTGAACACAAGGTCAGGAAGACAGGATATGAAGGTGACATGAAATTTCTAGCTTTTTCCTGCTTCTACAGGAGTATTCCACCAAATGCTGCTGTTATAATTTTCTTTGATCTTTCTGAATGAAGTTAGTAGATTAAAGTCTGTTGGATGGTGTTATTTGATTGCTTAGACTTATGTTAACTGTAGATATTCAGAGCTGTCCAGCACATCAGTTTTATCACTTACATTTATATGATCAGTTTCTAGATATCTTTATGTTTCTATTTATTTTGCAGATCAGACTCTCTCCCACCTTTATTTTCTAAGAGGAAGTATAAATGCTTGCAACTTGCTAAAAAAGTTGCTTTTATTTATTTACATTTGACAGGAGAAAAATTTATGGAAAACAGCATACCAAACATAAAACTGGTTGTTATGTGCTCCTTTCAAGTACATTCTGGTCCTTTCTTCTCTCCCATACAACAACTCTCAAAGGAAAAGAAAAGCCAAACAAATTTGACAAACCATGCAGAACAAGTGTCAGGTTTACAGAGGACACAGGAAACCACAGTCCCTCACCTTTCCTAAACAAGTAAAATTTTAAAACTCCAATGCCTTAAAAAGCAAAAAGTAAAATTCTTCCAGAATAATGATAATTGACTAATAATTGGAAAATGTCTCTAAAGTGTATGAGGAACTTTCTAATGTTTACAGAAGTGAAAGCAATTGTGGGAGGGGCAAACAGAGATTCTGGTGTGCATAAGCCAGATCAGTGCTCTTTGCCTTTTACTGCTTTTTAAGTATGTGAAATGGTGTTTTTGCTACATGACTATAAAACAACAAGGAGAATCAACAAACTAAGTTATCAAACTTGGTTCTACTATGGTTTTCAGAACTCCATATATCTTATTCGTAATTATTTTAGCTCAACAGCAGACAAGAGCTTTTGAACTCCCTCCCCACTCCTCCCAGATGTAGCCTTGGCTCTCAGCTGACATGACTTCATCATCATCAGACTCTCATCCGACTGGGTCTACACCTAAAACTTAATTAACCTAGCTACACTAGTCATATCAGAGGTGGGGAACCTTTTTTTGAATTGGGAGCCACCAACCCACAGGAAAAGTCAGTCACACACAAGTGAGAAGAAAAAAACCCAACAAAACCCTTACTCAGGCAGCCCCTGACTAAGGAGAAAGACATTCTCCACATTCCCCTCACCACACCACAGCCTTAGGGAGGCTGCAAGAGGGGAGGGAGCAGGAGCCTATACTGGGAAGAGCTGTCTTAAAAGCCGGTTCCCCACAGCACCATTTCCTTGGGTGGGCGGGGGCAGAGGTGCAGCAGGGGGGGTGGGGTGCGGGTGGGGCTGGGCGTGAGCTGGAACTCAGCTGTCCCAACTCATGCCCGGTCCCAGATGCTGAGCCTCTACTTTTTAAGAACCACGTGGCTGTTAATACAGTAAAACTCCATTGGTCCAGCATCCAATGCTCCGGCACTCCTGATGGTCTGGCACCATCAGGAACCCGAAAGTGCTCCAGCTGCTGGCTGCCAGGCAATTGGAGCTGCTCTGCGCCCGGCTTCTCTGATTCAGCTGCTGCTGAAACTGACCAGCAGCTGAATCGGGGAAGCCAGGGGTAGAGCAGCTGGGGTTCTGCCAGGTTGGTCCTATAGCGCTGCCCCTCAGGGCCGTGGGGCAGAGCAGCTGGAGTGCTGCCGGGTTGGTCCCACAGCGCTGAGGTATGGCACTATGGGACCAACCCAGCAACATCCCAGATGCTCTGTCCCTGGCATCCCTGATTCAGCCACTGCTGTAACTGACCAGCAGCGGCTGAATTGGGGACGCCTGGGCAGAGCTGGACTATCGGAAGGTGGGGCTATGAGGGGTCTGGGGTGGCATCTCCCCCATCCCAGATCCCTCATAGCCCCCCCTTCCGATAGTCCGGCATATCTGATAATCCAGCACCCCTTGGGTCGTAAAGGTGCTGGATTATCGGAAGTTTACTGTATATTTAAATGGCAGCGCTGCAGCAGAGTTAGCTCCCAGGACCAGGGAAATTCCATTGACTACTCAATTAGTTGATTAAGCACAATTTAACATCCTTAAATCTAGCTACCACCTCTGAAAGATGGATTACCTACTGATGATAGAAAATCTTTGCCACTGTAAACATACCCTCATCATGACAGCTGCCATTCCATCTTTGATGCTTAGGAAAAGACTTTCCCTTCCAGCATGCTGAATTGACATCAGCTCTTAAAATTCCTTAACACGTCTTCCACAAAGTCTTTCAAAAACAAATAGGCACATTCTCATGATAGGTTATCAGACCACTTTTGAGATCAGAACTTCTGATCATCTTTGTCACCTAGCATAGAGTATCAGAATGATATGTCCAATGCAGACAAATCTTTTGGGGCAGGAGCTGGGTCTTCTATAGTTTGGACCATGCTGTGAAGGCTAACAGTGCTCAACAACTTCGTTCATTTTTACTGTTTTGTGTATTTCTTCAAACTTCT